CACTGCACCCTGTCATAGGTGTGCGTGGCATTGGTGAAGGCCACCAGCCAGCGCAGGAAGCCGAGCAGCTCGCAGGAGCAGTAGAAGGGGTTGCTGTAGAGCTCACACACCGAGAGCTTGGCCAGGCCGGCGAAGGTGGCGCTGTGCAGGCGCTGGATGCGGTTCATGGACAGGTCGATGTTGAGGATGTTGGGGCACTCCCAGAAGGCGCTGGGCGTGACCACCTCGATGAGGTTCGCCTGCAGGTACAGGTACTCCAGCTTGCCCAGCCCGCGCAGCACGCCCTCGCTCAGGTTGCGAAGCCGGTTGTAGCCCAGCTGCAGCACCTGCAGGTTGAACTGGCCGGAGAAGGCGCCATCCTCAATGTAGCCTATCTCGTTCTTGGTGAGGTTGAGGTACGTGAGGTTGCCGAAGCGGCTGAGTGCGGCGTGCTGCACGCTGCGGATGCGGTTCTCATTCAGCCGCAGGTCCACGATGGTGCTGTTGATCTGCTGCGGGATGGCCTCGTAGGGGGGCTGGTTCTGGCTGCAGATGGCCAGCCACACGAAGCCCTTGTCCCCCTCGATCAGCCAGCAGTCCCCGCGTGCCAGCCCGCCCGCGTGCAGCAGGGCCCAGGCGGCCACGCACACCCACAGCACGCCCCCAGCCATGGGGACGCCTTGAAGGGGAGCCTGCGGAGAAGGGGTGGAGCCGGCCACGGCTCCCAGGGACTAAAGGACACGCTCAGGGGCGTCCTGTCCCAGAGCGCATGGCAGCCTGGGGAGCGGGCCTGCCTCCCTCACGCCCAGCAACCTTCCCCATCCGCCTGGGGGGCCCGGCTGCTCCAGAGGCCTCCTACTCAGATGCTCCGTCTGCAAGACAAGAGAGAGAGAGAAGGTGGTCACACTGTGAGGGACGGTCCAACCCCCTGCTGCTGGGGCTGCGGCTGTGCACACAGCCTACCCCCAGCCAACCAACTGGGCCTCAACACAGCCGGGCCATCGGTGGGCAGTGGCAGACATGTTCCATCAGTCACCACCACATTATCATCTTCACTACCGTCACCACCACCACCATCACTTCTACCACCACCACCATTATCACCACCATCACCATCACCACCACCATCACCACCACCACCACCACCACCACCACCATCACCACCACCACCACTATCACCCCGCCCCCCAACCGTCACAGTGAATATTTCAGAAGCTCTCCAGCCTCTCCCGGAGGAAGCACCCCAACGATGAGGGTGGCTGGTGTTTTTCCAGCTGAGTTTGCAAAGCTGGTGATGAGGCTTTCTACTTCCGTCAGGGTTCCAGTCTCAGAAACCCATAGCGGCAGTTCTACCCTGTCCTGCAGGGTCACTGTGAGTCAGAATTGACTCGATGGAGGGAGTTTGAAGTCACCCAAAGGGGCCCTGATGGTGTAGTGGTTATGACTTGGGCTCCTAACTGCAAAGTCAGCAGTTCACAACCGCCAGCCGCTCCGAGGGAGAAACACGGGGCTTTCTGCTCTGATAGTTACAGTCTCAGAAACCCACAGGGGCATTTTCCTTGCCCTTCAGAGTCCCCACGAGTCATCTTTGCCCTGATGGCAGTGAGTTTGGCTTATTTTTTGGAAGGCACCCTGGTGGGGTAAGGGGTTACACATTGGGTTACTCACCCCAAGGTCAGCTGTTCGAATGCACCAGCCACTCCAAGGGAGAAGGGCGAGTCTGTCCTGGGAAGCGCACAGGCAGGGTCTCTGTGAGTCAGGCCACGCTGTGGCCGTGAGCTTGGTGTTGTGGCTTTGAATCTCCTGTCGGCCTGGAGGTGGCAGCACAGGACGGGAAGTGAGCAGGGTGACAGCTCCTCCCGACCTCCAAGGCCAGCTTCGCCCAGTTCCCCTGGCCCTGGCCCCCCTGTGATCCCTGCACCTGGGAACCTGGAGCCCCAGCCACCCCGCAGCCTCTCCCGCCCGCCCCAGCAGCCCTCTCCCAGTGCCACGCGAACGGACCTTGTTGGGGGCTCTGGCCACTGGCCAGACTGGGGAAGCTGCATTTTATTGTTTGGGGACCACTGAATGACAGCCCTCTTGTGGGACAGGGGGTGACCAAGTGCCAGTGCAGCTAAAGGGGTGGGGCCTCAAACATCTGCAGGACAGGACAGGGTGGAGTGTGTGTGTGTTTTGGTTTTGTGTGCTTCCTGCATGCAGACAGACAGAAGCCAGAGCCCCGCGGTCACCACCAGGGAGCTTTGAGTGGTGGCAGAGCAACAGCAGAAGTCAAGCTGCTTCCTTCTGAGAAAAGCAGACTGGAGGTAGAGCGAGGGTGGGGCTTGCCGGCCCTTAGAGGAAAGGGAGTGGGGGGTTGGGGAGGAGTGAGGTCCTAGGACACGGCCCAGTGCAGGGGGGACCTAGGCACTTGTTGTATGCGACCCTCACTACTCTGTGAGGGTGGGCAACCTACCTTTGACAGATGGGGAAACTGAGGCTGGGGGAGAGGCACCTCCCCCTGGACATGGCAGGTGGGGAAGAGGACCCAAGGACGACTGGCTGCAAAGAGCCCCGGTGCCTCCCCTCCAACCCCGCCCGCCTCCCGAGGAAGAGGATGCCCTCACGTGGCAGACACGCTGTGTTGGCACAATGGCGGAACTTCCGGATTCCGGTTGTGCTCTTTGTGCAAGGCAGCCAGCACGGCTGCCCTTCCCCACCTTATTCCGCCATCGTGAGCGTGAACGCAGTGCCCCTTAAACAACGTACGTTCCCCTTTGCCAACAGACAGGTCGCCCAGATCGCTTTCAAGTGCCGAAGGGCCGGGATGTCGCTTTGAGACCAGGGTACGCCGGACCCAAGCCGTGGTCTTGTCCCTCACCTCACCAGCGCGGCGTAGCTGGACAAGGAACAAGAAGCCGGCAGAAGAAGGGATGTACTGGAATGCTGGTGTTGGCGAAGGATATTGAAATTCCACGGCGGCTTCCAGAATGAGCGCGTCCTGCCTTGGAGGAGGCCCAGCTGGAAAGCTCCTGAGAAGCCAGGATGGTGAGCCCTCGTCTCTGTGCTTTGGGCGTGGGAGTGGGGAGAGCAGCCCTGGAGCTGGGTGCAGGAGAAACGTGAGACAGGAAGACCCTCACAAGGGGATTCACTCAGCGGCTGCGACCATGGGCTCAACCAGAGCCCTGGGAGGGGGCATCAGCTCAATGGCACTTGTCCTACATGCCCAGTGATCCCACCCCGATGACCAGGAATGACCTGTGGCTTTTACTTCATTTCTCTTTCCGCGCCAGGTGGCACTGTGACGGCCCACAGGCTGCGTCGCCGTCTGTCTGCTGATGGGCACTGTATTAGTCTAGGTACTTTGGAGAAACAAATCCACAGCGACTTATGTATAAGAGAGAGTTTTATGTAAAGAAAAGGTGCATCACGAAAACATCCCAACCCAATGCTGCCCAAGCCCACAAGTCCAACATTAACCCAATAGCTTAGACACCCAACACCAGTCCACAAAGTCCTCCACCTCACAAAACAGAGGCAATGATGCCGACTGCAGGAGGAAAGCTGAGTCAGTGAACGAACAAGCATCTCAGCACTAGCAGGGGTCTCCACACGGCTGCTCCAGCACCCAGCGCTGCATCGGGATAGGTCCATGTAGCTTCTCCTTGGGGATGTCTTGTAGGAAGTCAACCTTGCAAGCTGAAGCAGGGAACTGCTAAGGCAGCTGCACCCTGGTGCAACCATCACAAAGCAAGAGACCCGAGAACTAGAAAGGCGAGGCTTCACCACCCATTTATCCCTCCGCCTTTCAATTAGCCCCACATGTGATTATCGGCCAGGCTGGCACAATTAACTAACTCAGGCACTGAGGCCAACGCCACCGTTTGGCAGCTGGGATAAATGATGCAAGGAGTGTTGGGGACCCAGAATCTGTTGGTGTCCCGGGCTTGGCTGCTTTGGGGTCTTCTCCACGTACTGTCTGGGAGTCCCTTATCATGACCCACGTCACTGTCTCAACAACCTTTCTATTGACCACCCTCCTGAACTCTTGCCCCCTGTTGCTGGTGGCCGAAGGCTTGGCTCCGGCTCATGGAAGCCCGCCCGATGTGTACAACCGAACTGAGCACCCACTGCCGGTCCCGCACCGACCTCACAGTCACCCAGGGCCACAGCCACTGGGCCAACCCACCTCCCCGCGAGAGAGCCTGCCTCTGTGTCACTGCCTCTCCGCTTTACTGAGCCTGGCGTCCTTCTCCGGGGGCTGGTCTCTCCTGACAACATGTCCAAAGCACCTAAGACCAAGTCGCACCATCTTTGCCTCAAAGGGTCACTCTGGCCGTACGTCTTCCAAGATAGACCAGTCTGCCCTTCTGGCAGCCCCCGGGACTTTCAGTATTCTGTGCCAACACCACCGTTCAAACGCACCGATTCTTCTTCTGCCTCTGCAGCAGCATCCAACTTTCATGTGCAGAGGGGGCAACGCAAAGCACTGGGGCTGGGGTCAAGGGCACCTTAGTCCTCAAAGTGACATCCCTGCTCTTCAACACCGTCAAGAAGTCTTGTGCAGCAGATTTGTCCAACGCAAAGGCCACTGGATTGAGTGTCTGTCCACCGCTTCTCCCACTGAGCCAGTCTAACCGATGCGCTGCTTCAGAGAGAAGACCTGTTCCGGGCTCTCTTTTCCACAGCGCAGCTCAGAGGCGTTCCGAGCTCCCCATCCTTTGGCCCACAGTCTGGTTCTCTGGCTGTTTCTGAAAGTTCAACTCAGGCGTCACCTCCTGCAGGAAGTCTTCTCTGAGCTCGAGGTTAAAATGAACAACCCCCACTCCTTCATCCCGAGGGAGAAAAATGGGGCTTTCTCCTCCCACTGAAAAGAGTGCCCATCTGGAAAGCCCACAGGACCCTGTCCCGTAGGGTCTCTCTGAGTTGGCATTGACTTAATGACAGGGCGTGTGGTTTGGCTTGATGTCCATCCTGAAGGAGCCCTGAGGGAGCCAGGGATAAGTGTTCAGCAGCAAGCCCAAACATCGGTGGTCTGAACCCACCAGACGGTCCTGTGGGGCAAACATGAAGGGCAGTTGGCTCCTGTAAAGACGGCAGCCGTGGGGACCTGTGGGCCGGTTCTACTCTGTCCTGCAGGATTGAGCCTTCCCTGGGAGGCACGAGTAGCCTGGTGGTCGACCACCGACCCGAAGGAGTCCACCCAGGGACACTGCGGAAGAAAGGGCTGGCGATTGGCTTCCATCAAGATCTCCAAACCCCAAACCCACTGCCCTCCAGTCCACGCCCACTCAGCTCAGTGACCCCACAGGGCAGAGAGGAACCGCTGACTAAGGCCGCGGGGCTGTAACTCTTCTGGGGGGAAGAGGAGTAGAGAACCTCATCTTCCTCCCGTGGGTAAGTGGTGCTTCCACACCCGCGACCTTTCTGTTAGCAGCCGAGCGCTTGTTTAATGACGGTGCCACCAGGGCTCCTGCCAAACCCCATCCCAGACTCACTGCCACCGAGTGTGTTCGATGCCCAGTGACCCTACGGAACAGACTGGACCTACTGGTGGGTTTTGAGACCGCAAGTCTTTGTGGAGCAGAAACACGCAAAACCACACTCCCTGCCATTGAGTCAGCGCCCAACGCTATAGGTCGGGCTAGAACAGCCCTCATTGCCAATGAGTCAACTTCAACTCATGACAACCCTG